ATAATAAATTAGTATATAGTCTCTTTCTATGTTAATGAGAGTATCATCACTGGCCTTGGCTTTGGTTATTTTAGATTTTAGATCTCAAACTCTCTCTCTCTCTCTCTCTCTCTCACACACACACACACACACACACACACACACACTTGCCTGAAATATCAACATAAAATGGACAATAAATGAGAAATTTAAGTAGGTAGTCATATGACCACTTTGCTCATCTAATTAATACTTTATCTTCTCTGTTAAACATATGAATTTCTTTATGTGAGGGTGGATAGACGTAAAAGTCAGGGCAGATAGAATAAAAGTATATTTCCAAGCACAGTGCTGGAAAGGGCTCATTGAATCCTTACTGGATTAGATGCCTTTCTACTTCACAGGGATTAGCAAACAGGGAAAAAGAGGGAAAAAAATTCCATTTGGTAAAAACATGAAAGAGCAGAAAATTAGCCCAAAAAGAGGTGAAAGTCTTCTGCACATCCCAGTTGGCTGTGTTGTGAATTCCTAGAGAGGGTAGCAGACCACTGTGAAGGGCTTGACATGGTATAAAACTGACAAGCTTGATTCTAGAATATGTTCTTCTTTTCAAGCTTTCTTCGTTATTTTTTTTTTCTGGCCAGAGACAAGGCCATCACAATTCAAAAATTAACTCAAAATAAAACCATAACAAAAGGTTTGCAAAGCGCATTGGGTTTACACAAGTAATTTATTCAGTGTGGCTTCATTTAACATACGTTGGTAAAGACCAATGACATATTGTCAAGTAGTAATAATTGTGAAAATGACACCAAGAACAGGTCTGAAAATAAACAGAAGTTCTTTTATGACCACAAAGAAAGGAAGGGTATTTACAAACAAAAAGTGCACATGAAACTTGGGAGAATATTTGAGCTGCCAATGAAATGGGATTCATAATGCCTCCCCCAACACAGCATCTGGAAGCTCCATAAAATGGGTCCAACACTGAGGGTCTGGAGAATATAATTTTTCAAAAATAATAATTACATGGCAATATATTTGGATTATATAGAAAATTAGCTACTCAATCACTGGGAACAGGTTTTAAAAAATACATTCTAGGAAAATTTCAATGGGAATAATAGAAAGAAAATAATAGAAAGAAAAGAAAATAATAGAAAGAAAAAAAAATAGATTAAGCCTCTGCCTCGAGGAAAATCCCTAATTCAGAGGGCACAGTAAAACCGGCCAAGGTCAGAAAGGCCTTGTGAGTTCAGGAGAGACACTCCAAGGACATGCCATGTATTCCTCCCATTTCACTTTGCCAACTTTGTCACCAAACTCATTCATGGCACAGGAAGAAGGAAGAGCTGCAAAGGACGACAAGAGGCTCGTGTGTTAATATCCAGAGGCTTTATTGATGTATGTTTATTTCAGTTAAAAAAATTTCCTTCCCCCAGAACAAGATGTTCTCAGGTCCACTTGGGTAAACCTCTTTGTCATGGTTGCTAACACTGGTTTGTATACATCAGTGTGACCGACTGTTGATGTAACTTACAGTGTGACCAACTGTTCATATAACTTTTCTGAGGCAAAATTCATATCACTGCATCGGAACAGAATGAAACAGAATGAAAAGCTCATGTTTGCTAGACGGCATGACCCCTTTTCTGATCAGACTGTCCTATAAGATTCAAGCCTTCAGAGATATGTTGGAGGCAATTGGAATTCTCAAACCTTTGGTCTTGTATAATTCTCTTACATATATTTAGGAAATTACTAAACCCTCTTTTATATGTTGCTGTGACTCAAAGTGTGAGTAATTGGGGTAAAAACACTGGCTATCTTTAGAGAAAAGCTCTTTGGATAAATTGAGAAAATTCAAATGGCTTTGTTCCTGTAAAATGCCAATTGAAACAGCTTTTGTAGATAGTCACTTTCGCTCTCGTGATAGAGGACCCTAACCTAATTTTGTTTCATAAACCTCTCGTTCTGGGGGAGGAAATTTTTTTTAACTGAAATAAACATACATCAATAAATACCTAGTGTTAAGATGAGCCTGAAGAAAAGGTTAGAGGTATTCTGAGTCATAAAACTGACAGTAAAGAACCTGATTATTTAACATAATACATTCTTAAAGATAAGATGTAAAGTGTAAGGTCAGCTGAGTGGGAAGTGACTAAGACAGTCAAGCCTGCTTTTGTATCCTGCAGGTCTGTTATCAGTGATGTAGCTAATAAGGTTCTTTTTTTCCCCCTTGTTTTTGGAGGAAATTTATTTTTATAAATATCAAATTTTTTTAAACTTCTTCAGCATCCAGGTCAGTTATTCTAAAATCCTTAAAGTCATAGTTTGAATTGTTTTTATTTGCTTGTTGTTGAACTTTGGAGGATCTTGTCTGAATTACCCTTTTTCTGTTTGCCACATTTAGAGTCCTCACTAACGTCAGGTTGGTTTACCTCCTCAAATTAAATGGCTTTCTCTACCTTTTTCCCTTTTTAAATCTTTTAAAGGAATAAAACTTCTACACCAATTCAAAAGGCCCCAGATCAGACTTGCGGGCATTCCTGCAACTTCCACCAGTTTGACAGTCAAGTTGGTGTCTCAGAATTTTAAAGCTCGAATAAACAATTTGAGCCTGTTGACCTTGAGAGGGTTCATAAAATCCTTCATTATAACTGCAGCTTCCTGGTGCTTACTGAAACCAAACCAACTTCCCTCAACACTGAATTAAGGCCCTAAGAAAATGAGTCCATAATACTATCTCCTCCAACCAGCAGCCATCTTGGGCTAGATGAGTTAGCTTTTTAATTTCATGGGACTGAAAAACACAGGCTAAAGTTTAGAGACAATTGATTGCCCCATGTAAACAAGAAGTTCCTGGCGTCAGGCAGATACTCATCTCTTGCTCTCTCAAATCCACATCCTCTGTATTGGATCCACTTTCACACAGGCCCTTCCAACAACCCTACATTCTCTCAGGTTTAATTATCTAAAAATACTATACTCAGAGGGCTCTGGTGGAAACATGAGACCAGCCCTGAACATTCACCATGGCCCCAAACACTTTACATCTTGATGCACTGAACTAGTAACAGAGCCCACTACAAAGCCTACACTTGATCTTGGAGGCTGCAAAGCCTACAGACTAAAGGTGGAAAAGGTCATTTCCCAGAGTGAAACTGAGTACGGTTCCTAACATTGAGGTAAATAGATACAGAATGTCAAATACATCTGACAATTGAACAATATATTAGCAAGATATTCTTCTACCATCATATATAATTTAGTAGTATTGTCAATATACCTGTTCATCCCTTCTAAGTTCTAATTTCTGTAGCTTTGAAGACATATAACACTCCTAGATACTTACACAGGGGAAAGAAAAACATGTTTCCATGCAAAGACTTCATTCATGTTCAGAACAGCTAACTCAGTATCCAAAAACAACCTGCAACTCAATTCCCATCAATAAGTAAATGGATAAACAAGTCTGGCATAGCCACACAATGATATCCATATCCATACTCAGTAATAATAATAATATCCATACTTAGTAATAAAAAGAATGTATTATTGATACATGCAACAAGATGTGGATGAATCTCAAAATATTATGCAGAGCAGAAGAAGCTAGACAAAAAAGAGTACATATAAAATGATTCTATTTGCATAAAATTCTAGAAAATGAAAACTAACCTATAATGATAGAAAACAGATCAAGATCAGTGATTGCCTAAGGGTGGAGGTCAAGGCAGGGAAGGGAAAATGGAAAGATCAAGGAGCTGCCCAAGGAAACTTCTGAGGGTGATGGATATGTTCACTATCTTGATCAAGAGTTGGGATTTTTTGTTGTAAAGGGCAAGATAGTAAATATTTTAGGCATTGCAGGCCATATGGTCTCTGTCACAACTACTCAACTCTGCCACTGCATCATCAAAACAGCTACAGATAAGAAGTAATTAAATGAATGTGAGTGTGTTTTTTCCAAACAGGCAGTAGCCCAACCGAGTCTGCAGGCTGTAGTTTGCCAATTCCTGATCTTGATCAAGATGATTGTTTCGCAAGTGTGTAAATATGTCAAAACTTATCAAATCGTACACTTTAATTATAGGCCATTTATTGTATGTCAATTATGCCTCAATAAAGCTATTAAAAAATAAAAACAAAACAAACAGCCTTAGCTTCCTCATCATGGATTGGATAAAGTTCAGCCTTCTTACCATGGCATACAAATCGCTCCATGAACTGGCCTCTGTATTCCTACCCAGCCAGAGTTACTATCCTTCTCTGGTGGGATTTTACTTTTTTTGGCACTACCAAAATACACACATCATGCCATTTCAACTCTATGCCTTTATTTAGGTGTTCTATCCAGAATAACGTCTCTTACTAATGTAAGATTAAACTTGCACATTTACAATTCCAGGATGCCTTCCTTCATCCCTTACCTTACCCCTTCATTTCTTCTTTGTGCCACCATAATAGTCTCGGTGTGTGTGTGTGTGTGTGTGTGTGTGTGTGCATACACCAATATATATTTATACACACATATATAAACACACTTGTACTATTACATTGATATATATACATACACATTTTTGCATGATTACATTTTTCCATACTTTTAGCTATATATATCTGAAATTTTTCTTTTACATATTTAGAGTTAAAATGAATTATCATTCATTTTATATTCATTTCATGAATATCAGTAGACTTGGATATATGACTGAGCACTCCCTGTGTCTATTACATCTATCACAGTGTCTGGCACATTAAAAAAATTCAATAAATCAGTTTGTTAGCTGTTATTATGGCCATTTTTACAGTTTATAAAATTGATAGGTAGAGAAACTTTATTTAGTTCATAGACACTTGATTAGGAATAGCCAATCTAGTATCAGAAACAAGTTCTCCCATATCTCATCTCAAGTACTTTCCACTAACCATTGCAATATTTTTTATTATTGGAAGCTTATCTATATTTCACACTGGTCTCTTTCTAACTTTGCCACTGCTCCTCCTTTACCCCCTAGATACACCAAAATGAAGACTGCCACCAATATCTACATTTTCAACCTTGCCCTAGCGGATGCCTTAGCAACCAGTACCCTGCCCTTCCAGAGCGTCAATTACCTAATGGGCACATGGCCATTTGGAACCATCCTCTGCAAGATTGTGATCTCCATAGATTACTATAATATGTTCACCAGCATCTTTACCCTCTGTACCATGAGTGTTGATCGCTACATCGCAGTCTGCCATCCTGTCAAGGCCCTGGATTTTCGCACTCCCCGCAATGCCAAAATTGTCAATGTCTGCAACTGGATCATCTCTTCAGCCATTGGCTTGCCTGTAATGTTCATGGCAACAACAAAGTACAGGCATGGTAAGTTGCAGGCCTGAGGGGTGAGGGGTTTATAAACTGATGTGCTGGTAAAGTCATGAGTGGTCCAACTTCTTAGTCAAATTGTAATTTCAGTGATTTTTTTTCTAGCAAAATGACTTTGAATGTTTTTAATAGGAGTTCTCTCCTAAATTTTAAGACACTAAACATTTTAAAGAAAATATAATCTATTGTTTCCTGATTTCTCTGTATTGACTTCATCAAAATGATGGGAAAATAAGAATATAGCTCTTACAAGATTAATTAGACTTAAACCCAAAAGAACATTAAGGTGTTTTAAAATTTCAAATGGCTGTCAACACGACAAATTTATTTTTCTAGTCCTCATATAAAAATCATGAACCACCTATCAAAAAGTGGAAAGAATTTATCCATTACCTGGAACCTCCTATAGACTTTGGACAATGATTGTATTTTTTATGTCAACATGGACCCCATAGGGGATCTAGCTCAAGTGAAAGGTTCCATAATTGTTGATTAAATGAAAGCTTAATGTGATCAAAATAGATGAAACATGAGATATTTAGAAAAAAAAAATCTAAAAATAACTCCCTGAAAATCAACAGAGAGCTTTCTCCCTCGATTTCTTTAAACTTTCCCTTATTGGCTTTCCTTAATGGCTTTAAGTTAGCTCTGGTCAAAGCTGTAATTAGTTGTTGCTGCTCATTCTGCCTTATAATTATTGTTTTCCAGGTTCCATAGATTGTACACTCACATTCTCTCACCCAACCTGGTACTGGGAAAACCTGCTGAAAATCTGTGTTTTCATCTTTGCCTTCATCATGCCCGTCCTCATCATTACCGTGTGCTATGGACTGATGATCTTACGCCTCAAGAGTGTCCGTATGCTCTCTGGCTCCAAAGAAAAGGACAGGAATCTGCGAAGAATCACCAGGATGGTGCTGGTGGTTGTGGCTGTGTTCATTGTCTGCTGGACTCCCATTCACATTTATGTCATCATTAAAGCCTTGATTACAATCCCAGAAACTACATTCCAGACCGTTTCCTGGCACTTCTGCATTGCTCTAGGTTACACTAACAGCTGCCTGAACCCAGTCCTTTACGCATTTCTGGATGAAAACTTCAAACGATGCTTCAGAGAGTTCTGTATCCCAACTTCCTCTACCATTGAGCAACAGAACTCCACTCGAATCCGTCAGAACACCAGAGACCACCCCTCCACGGCCAATACAGTGGATAGAACTAACCATCAGGTATGCAGCTTCTAGAACTGGGTACACCTATGGGGGATAACATAAAAATTATAGATTTTTGTTCCAATCCAAACTTTTCAACCATTAGAAGTGAATTAGTAACTAAGGGATGGAGGTTCCCCCCTTATGAGGACTGAGGGAGGAGAGCAAATTATGGTCACTGTGACAGAGAGGTACTTTACATTATTTAAACAGCTCTATGTATTTGTGTATATTTATTTATATATAAAGGTACACCAACTAGAAATCCATAAAGCTACTAAAAATCAGTATCTTCACAGCTGTTGCTTCTATGCAAAATTAATGATGATAACACGTTGTGGAAGTGATGATGTTCTAGACTTCTCCTCATTTTCCCCAATGTTTATGTTTCATGCATATCATTCCAATATCCCTGTCACTTCTTAAAAGTCAGTCCTGTTCTGGCTCTGTAGTTAAACAGAAAGGGTCATCACTTCACTCACTGTGGTGATGGGTGCCAGATGTTCCCAGCAAATCAATGTCACAGCAAAGGAGAAAAGACAGGAAAAAAAAAAAAATGCCAGCTCTAACTTGTTCAGCCATCGGTTTGTCAATTCTTACACCTGAACTCTAGTGGAAACCTCAAACATATCGCTTAATTATTGGAACTAACTTACTTTTTTAACAGTCGTTATACCAGTCAGAGTTAATATGGCGAGGAGTGACTATTTTTTGGAAGATATATTCCCTTGCACAGAGTACAGAGGGCAGCCTGCAGGGAGGAGTCAAGATTTATATACAGTATTATAATCACATGAGAATCAGAAAAGAGAAAAATGTGTCTCTAAGTTAATATAACCTTGATAAGCCACTGATGTGCAAACTGTGGAGTCTGACTAGAAAGTAAATCAAACATACCACTTAACTCTTAATATTAATATAAATAAGTAAAGTTTCAAATAATAATGTCAGCATCCAAAAATCACTGCCTCCATAATTTTATAACACAGAACTGAAATTCAACTTCCAGTGAAGTAAATCCTTGAGTCAGAACCTGGTCAGAGGCCAGGACTGTGAGAACAGATGCCTTTATAAAAATGACTAGGAAGTCTAATTGAGGAGGCAGACGGAGAAGAGCCTTGCAGTACAGAGCAGCTGCTTCCTCTTCATTTACTTTTCTCCAGGTCCCACTCTGTCTCCCCCACACCCACTACAGGCCCCCAGCCCAACCCCGCCCAGGCTCACGCTTTCCTACTGACCACAGGTCTAGCTTAAGGAGGTCCTCATGGTCTGCCATAGGCGACACTAGTCCTCACACCTCTGATACTAAATATTGTTAAAAGGAACACCAGAACTTGGGACCCTCTAGGCAGTATAAGGTAAAGATGGTCGACTCACTGCCAACCAAAGGGAAATTATTAATTTACTTTGTGCCACTTCTAGCTCCATTTCAGACTGAGTCAAAGACAAAAAGAAATCTACTCTGCTTCTTTTCTATTTTTTCCACATCAAGACCTCTAAACCTGCTTCTTCTACTAAGCAGCTCTCCCTTCAGCAGCTATCAAAACCCTGTGAGTAACTTAGAGAGGGTAAGGATTCAAATAGATTTTCTCTGACCTGAGGATAATACATCACAGAATGCAATTTGAAACTCTCAATCCTAAACCAAGGTTAACACATTTTGCCTTGGAACAAAGTACTTCCCCTGGAGCACAGGGACGGAGCCCACTATGAAGTATGGATTCTCCCTCAGTCGGGGCCTGCCCTACCCTCCCTCTCTTGCAGACATGCTGGGGTGTGGCTGTGAGTAGCCTTACCCTAGACCATTGAGGGGCCTCTCATCACATCAGATTCTCTCAGCGCCCTTCCCTCACCAGCTCTCCTGGAGGCACAGTTCCTGGCCTGTCTGATGGAATGCTTCTCCTGAGCTCAGTATGATCATCCTTCCGTTGTCCCAACCCTGTTGTTGACTCCCATGCAAATCCAGCATTTTCACATTTAGTGTGGTTCCTGCACAGCCAGAGAGCAGGGAAAGGAAGCTAATTGAGGAAGCTCTGTTCTAAGTAACTAAAAGATTTGCTTTAAAAATACATCCAATTAGGGCTTATCTTCATTGTTGCTTCTATGAAGCAGGATCAGTGTCAGATAACAGCAGAAACACATTAGCCCTGGAATTGGCTGCCTTCCCAAAATGCCCAGCTGAGAGGGCTGGACAGACGAGTGGCTGCCAGGAAAAGAGGAAAAGGCATTCTGACATACTTGAAAATTAAGATAAAGCAAAGATCTCTTTCACTCATCTCCACTGATGTGTCATCATTAGAATCGCAACGGTTACACAGGGACTTCTGGAACGATACATAAGCCTTTGGTGATAGTTTCAATAATATATCAAAATAATGAAATTATTTGAAGGAAAAATCAGACACTTTATGGCCATGTCTATAGGATATAGTTGGTTAGTCAGACAAATTCAGAAACTGACAGATAGGTTTTTGGGGTTTTTGTTCATTCGTGTTTTTGTTTTGACACCATGACCCATTATGTTGCAAAGCAAAGCTAATTGGATTTGCATGAACTTTTTGACTGCTGGTTTGGACTTGGTACTGTTGTAGATGTTTATGTCTCGCCTACATATTTGTATTTTCTCCAAGAAATAGATTATACTCTATATGTCACGTTTCAAGCGCATTAGTCAACTTCATATTCTGCAGATCAGAGATCCAATATCAAACCTTCCCAGGGTGTCTGTATTCTGACAACTGTACACTGAGACCATGTCCCTACAGCGCAAAATGAAGAGTTGGCAGTTATCAAGGTAATTTCATAAGCCGTGTGAGAAAATTCTGTGCCCCAAATAAACTTTGCATCATTTTTACATAGTTAAGGGTGACTCGGTCAGCTTTTGCTACCTAACAAGTCATTCCAAAACATAGCTGCTTAGAGCAACCATTTATGTAGTTTGCATTTCCGTAGATCAGTAGTTTGAGCTGGGCTGGCCTAGAATGTTCCTCCAGTTTTAGCCAGGCTCAGCCTAGGGGGTGGCACATTAGCCCTGCTGTCCTCATGGTAGCTCCAGGTTCTAGGTTCAAGGTGTGGCAAAACAGACCTTACCTCTTGATGGTAGTAGCTGCAGTTACATTGCAAAGGAATACCTACTTACAGTAGGCACATGCTGCCCTGGACAAGCATAGCTTCTTGAAGCCATGAACCACATCTGCCTTGCTCTTTCTTCTTCCTCCAGCAGCTACCTAAAACAGTGTCTGACACGTTCAAAAACTACTCCAAAAATATCTGTTGAATGAATGAATGATGAGAGGGCTCATGATATTTCAGAAGATAGGGAGGGGGGTGAGGATGACCCCTTTCTTAAGCAACTGATGGACAACCCCAATGCTTGCATAACACTCTGACGTTATTCCAGGCTAACCCTTCAGTAACTGGAAAATATTCATGGGAGGGGTTCTTCCTTTTCTTTTCTCTATTCCTCTGATCAAAATTTCTACTTTCAAAACAAAAAATTGTTACATCTGTGCTTGTCTTCTCATTTTATTTCTAACAAGTGCTATTGATAAGCTGGCCACAAACTGGATTCAGTGCCCTAAAGAGGTCTTGCCCTGACTAAGTATAAAAAAGTAAAATAAAAAATGTCCTCATGTCCTTTTGTGAATTCCAGGGCTCAGGCTCCTTCTCCAGCTGTAAAACTCCATGCCTGATTTATGTTCAGCTCATTGTCTTTATGGCTTCTAGATTTTTATTAGATAGACTTAGGCAAAGACATTCATTTTGCATCTGCTATCCATGCAATTTAATTTCTCTGTACATGTACCAGTCAACAGTTTTTGCTAGACTCAACCTTGCTTCAGAGCTCATCCCCCATTTGCTCAGATCAATTCAGATCAGCTCAGACCTGAGACCCTGGCCACTGCAACCCACCTTCACTGGTTGGCTTCCCACCCCGACTGCATTCCATAATGCATTTCTGTTGTGATACCTAGACTATGTCCTTTAATGTTTAACATTATATGGGAAAAGAAACAACTCTCTTAGACCAGTTGGATTATTATTTAAAGAGTTTGTACTAACCATAACCATCATAATAGTGCTATCTTACATTAGTATCGCAGCATACAGATTAAAAAGTGTGCTATCACCTTGGCTTCCTACAACAAACCTGATGGGTAAACATGAAAAACTGAATGCTCAGGGAGGCTCAATGATCATAAAGATCAAGCCACCAGTAAGAGGCAGAACCCTGGGCTTCTAATATTAATCCAAAGCTTTCCTCTGCTTTCTTACACAATGCCACTTTGTGCCCAAATATTATTCCATGGTCTCAACCATAAGTTCTCAAACCTTATTAAGAGTATAAGTTCTGAGACACTCCTCCAAGAAACTCTGGTTCACTGGGTCAAGGTCAAGGTAGGGAACAAGTATCTGAATTTTGAATAAAACATGAAACTGAAAACTGATTTAAATTGTAACTTTATCCAAATACTGCTAAAGTTACTGTTTTGTCTAACCTGGCTACCATTTTAGTCAAGCTGGTTAGCAAGAATTTTTCTACCACATGAGTCTTGTGTTTAGCAAAACAGTATAGCTATAGAGCTATAGTTGGACAAAGCCTTAGTTTGCTATCAGTGAGTTTTATAGGCTATAGTGATATAACATTGATAAACCTAATATTACGGTACCTCCTGCCAACTTCTTCTCATTAACAGGGCAAGTCCAGCCCTAAGACCCCTGGTTACTGTTTTTAAAGCATTTTCTTGACATTTTAATGCAAGCCACATGTCCAGAAATTAGGAGATGCTTTGCAACAGTATTAACTACAAAACTATATTATCCCCAGCTAAACTAAAAGCAGAAGCCTAATTTTTTAAACCAACCACATCATTCTCAAAAACTACATCTTGATTTTTTTTTATAAAACATCTGTGGAGAGTTAATTTGAGAAGGAAAAGCATTTCAATTCCATCACAAAAGCCCCAAATGGGAATAGCTCACAAAATTACAGAGCTTGATCACATTAATGCATATTT